AACTCAGATTGTTTGTGAAGAGTCGATCGTTTCTGAGCTGGTGTATCAATATTTACGTGAGTCCCTACCAAAAAACTTCAGTATTAATTGTTCCTTAATTTTCAGTGACAGTTTAAAACTGCGAGAAAATGTTTATTTTCGTTGTTATGCTAATTGTTGTCAACCAAATTGTAAAAAAAAATTTAAATTTCACGGTCATATGATAGGTCTAAAAACCTACATTAAAATTTTCTCATCCGGAGATAGTACTGATCATAATTTATCTTTATGTTATCAATTACGTGGAGCTCAGAGGAAGAAATTACAAGGGCAATTAAGGCATGTAAAACCCCGAGTCGTTCGGAATTCATTAGTTAATTCCATGAATAAAGAATTGGCTAAAAATGTTGGTAACTATCAATTTACAAGTTCAACAGCCGTCATTTGTAAAGCTCGATTAGAGGAATTATCAAAAAATGATTGTGATGCTAACGATATAGTTGATATAATTCTACGCTTAGACAAATATGACTACAATCACCCATACATCCGAAAGTATGAAATGCCTTTTTCAATTTATTTAGGAATTAACGAACAAATTGAATCTTTAAAAGAGCATCCGAATTTAAAAGCGCATCTTGATGCGACTGGCTCAGTAGTTCGGTTGCCTTATAAATCTTCAAAACGGGTGTATTACTACGCAGTTGTTGTAAACAACAAAAAAAAAATTTACCCTGTGTTAGAATTTATCACCAATAATCATACTTCTTCTTCAATTTCCGACTGTTTGAAATACTTTAAGAATCTATGGATTGAAAATGGAGTTAATTGGTCTTGTTTTGATGTATTTATTTCTGATTGGTTGTGGGGTAACATAAATGCCTTGATGTATGGTTGGAACGATTGTTCAATTCAAAAATATTCTGATTTAGCATACGAAGCCATTTTTTTAAATTGTCCATTGCCTTCAAACATTACTCCGTTATTTGTTTGCTATTCCCATTTCATGAAAATGATCTCACGGTATGGAAAAACGCATAAAGTCAAAAATCAAACAACTAAGTTTTTTTTAGAAGCTGTTGCTACTTTAGTTCATTGCGATGATATTCATAGTTTTGACAAATTAATTGAAAGTTTATTTATTATATTGTTATACCCATTTAAATGTACAGAAGTAATAAACGCGATGAAATTTATTAGTGACCAAAAGTATTCAAACAAAGATGCTGATTTTGATGATGATAATTATGATAAGAATGATACTGACGACACTTTCGTTCTAGAAAATAATTTCCCAGGGGCTACTGCTTACGAATCCTCCAAACACTTCCAACGTTATCTGCCTATAAAAAAAAAAGTTGAAAACGATGCTGAAGAAAGCAAAATTTATCTTCGTTTAAAAAATAATTTCTACTCTCAAACTTTGGCTAAATATTTCTTAGAACACCTCTTGCCTTATTTATTTTTTTGGACAATTTTTTTGAGTCCTACTAAAAATCATTTTACTAATGGTTCTGTTGAAAATCACTTCAAGCACGCAAAAACGCCGGACGTTGACCATTTGAAAGTTGGACGGTTTATTGACACGATGGAAATTCCTTTACGCGCTGCTTTCAATGAATCGGGCTATGAAGAACCATCTGTTCACGTCAAAGTAGCTAAGAAAAGAGTAAGGCCAATTAATAAACCCGACGATTTGGAGTCCGAAGAGATCTGGAAACCTCGATTAGAAAAAAAGCGGGCAAAAACTTATCAACAGTCAAAAAACATCGAGTCGGCTTTAAATAATCTTCGGCGGTCCCTATTAGTCATTAACGCCAATAATTTTACCGTCCAAAATGTAGATTATTATTATGCTCCGAATGTCACCCGATTTTATTTTGTCTCGGCTTCGTCTAACTTTAATGATATATTATATCTTTTCGGCGAAGATTATTCGACACTGTTTAATAGTCAATGGTTATCGAATGGAGTAATAGATTTTTGTGCTAACATGCTTATATCACAGTCATCCTTTCGACTATATGTTGGCTACACTAATTGTGAATTAAGCACTTATATTTTAGTCAAGAAATGTTTAAATGTTGGAGCAAACTTTATAAATAACTTACAACTATTATAGGACAATAAAACTGCCATTTTTCTACCTCTTAACATCAATAACCAACACTGGGTTCTTGTTTTTATTGATGTGAAGAATAGCCGTTTTTACTACTTAGATCCAATGACGAATAATGCTAAAAGATTACAAAAAGCGTGTGAAGAATATTTTAAAAATTTTGTATTAACATACAATAAAATATTCAAAGAATCCCTTAAAAATTGGACTGTAGCGTTTAGCAACCATCAAATTCAAACAGATTCTAACAACTGCGGAGTTTTCGTTATTCATTTTATGCAGGAAATTTTGAAGGGAAATTTACTTTCCATCGCTCAGTTTGACCCAATACAATTACGGGAACAATTAAAAATTGACATTCTTAATGAGTCATTAAACGTTTCTGATCGGTGCCTTAGATGTGGTCAAGAAGAAATTGAGAACAATCCCGGTTGGATCGAGTGTAGTAATTGCGGGAAATATTCACATTACAGATTTTTACAGCATTTGACTCAAACATTTAAACAAATGCAAAAAGATTCATTCAAATATACATGCCATTTGTGTAATGAGTGGATTAGTAGCACTTTGTAAATAATTAACATCGATGTAAATGTATTCAATTAACTACGAAAAAAATTCATTCATATAACGTAAACAATTAATTAGTAGTTTGAACAATAATTGATGAGTTAAATAGTTTCTTTTGATTGTAAATATAATTGTAAATATTTTCTGTTACTGTTTATTTATATAAATTTTTATTGAATAATTAATATTTTATAAATTAAAACGAAATTTGAGAGTTTAAATAAATAAATTTGTTTGATTAAAAAAGGAAAATGAGTATTATTATAAATTTAGTTACATATATAGTTAATGAAGAAAACATTAATTTTGAAAAAAAAAAAATTATTTTTTTCCGTTACAGATCATTTTTATATATTAAGCATGCATATATTTAAATGGAGGTGTAGTTATTGAAAAATTGAACATACTTCATTAATTATTTAAAAAAAAAATGCCTGTAAAATGGATATATATTAAAATAAAAAATTGTCTGGTAAGAAAAAAATGGATAAATTGGTAGGAAATTAAAAAAATTTAGTTCTGAATAATTGGAGGTGTAGATTTTGATGTAATAAAGACCTTCATTTTTTTATTTTTACGCTAAGTCTTTTTTTTAATTGTTACAATTCGATTTATATAATAATAATAATAATAATTTTGAAATAAAAAAAAAAAAATGCACGTCTAAATTGGTGCAAAAGAGATGCAAATACACCATTTCGAATTCTTCCGCCAGAAAATGTTGATTGTAGCGCTCATTAAAGTTTTATTTTCTAAATTCCTAGTCCAAAAAAATTTTTTTTTTTAAATTTAAATGAATGAAGTTGTAACTATTCAAATTGTGAATAACTCCATTTTTTTATTTTTTTGTAAATTCGATTCCTTCGCCGAGATATCGATTGTCAAAGTTATCGATTGTCTGTTGTCCGCTAAGTTCACACTCATCAAAAATATTTATCGCATGGCGCACTTGTACTATCTTTTTATACACGTTGAAAAGCGTAACAATAATTTATAAATAATATATTTGTTTTGTTTTGTTTTTAAATAATAAATCCGTCGAGAGTAGAGATAGAAAAAAAGCCGCCGAGAGGGAGATAAATATTAAGAGTGATAAATAAATGAACATAGAGGAATTATTGATAAAGATGGTGATTTGAGACTCGCCCATCGCAAGGTATCACCGATTCATTTACTCAAGTAAGTTCTTTGCACAATAGCTTGATCTAGCGCTACTGCTGCTGTGTATGTGATTAAGCTCATGTATATACATATATACTAATTTGTTTTCTAATGTGTATATTTATCCGTAATTAAGGTGATAAGAGTAAGAAATAGTGATAGGTTCACTTGACGTAATCGTGTAAAGAGCAATGGGTTGGTGAATTTTTTTCAGCTCCAATTACTTGACTGGGATTCTAACCTACGCTTGGAATTCATCAGATAAGAATATATGTAAAGTCAATAAATTTTTCATCGCACCGAAAGCTGTGAAGAGTATGTATATATTTATGTGGATGTGCATATTCACAATGGTTTATTAATTTGATTTAATAAAATATTTATGTCTGGCTTCAGTGCTACGTACACTATGTATGCCGGAATATTGATAAATCTTTTTTTATAAAGCCATGTTCTGTATGTGTATATTTATCTCTGTGTGAGCAGTGTTGAAAAATACTGGATTGAAGATATATTTACTGGAATTTTTAAACTTGATAAAATTACAAGAGGATCTGGATTAATTTTTAAAATCATTCAAAGGTTTATAAAAAAATTTTTTATTTTAAGAAAATATATTTTTATATTTAAGCAAAAGTGAACATCAAAAGATTTTAATTTAAATAAATAAATAAATTATTTAATAATAAATCAACTGAAGAAAGTGAACAAGAAGAAATTCAATGGATTTAATTTTTGTTAAAAAAAATTACTCTGTGTTAAAAATTGTGGGAAAAATTTCTTAATTAAAATTTTTTATTTTGAGACAATAAATTTTTATGCTTAAGCAAAAGTGAACGTCAGAAGATTTTAATTTAAATAAATAAATAAATTATTTAATAATCAATCAACTGAAGAAAGTGAACAAGAAGAAATTCAATGGATTTAATTTTTATTAAAAAAAATAACTCTGTGTTAAAAATTGTGGGAAAAATTTCTTGATTAAAATAACAAGGAAATATGAATCAACTTTGTGGAAAAATGGACCGTCGAAAATAATTAGTTAGGGAGAAGAATAAATTTAGATACTTATTTTAAAATTCAAGAAAAAATAAGGTATAAAAAATTATTAAAATTTATAAAAGCTAAATTGAAATAATTGATAATTAATAATTGAATTTTTAAATAGAAGATGATGGAAAAAGTAATATCAGAGTCATTTAAAAAAATTCTTCAGACATTTCCTCACAACATGCGATTTTGCTTCGCATACGGATCGGGAGTAATAAAACAAACTACGGATCCGAAGAAGAATATGCTGGACTTGGTATTCGTGGTGAGGAACTCGGAGTCGTGGCATGCTGAGAATCTAGTCCGCAATTCTAGCCATTATGCTCAACCGTTACGTCTGCTAGGACACAAAGTGATAAGCAGGTTTCAGGAGAACTGGGGAGCTAAAATATACTACAACACTCTGATAAAGTCAACAGATGATAGATTGATAAAATACGGCGTGATATCAGAGTCTGCGCTGGTTGAAGACCTCCTCGATTGGAATAACTTGTATTTAGCTGGTAGACTGCACAAGCCGATCCACATTCTACAGGCTGCGAGCGAAAATTCATCGCTTCAGACCGCACTGGCGCAGAATCTCAAGAATGCTGTCCATGCTGCGCTTCTCTTGCTGCCGGAAAATTTCACCGAAGTGGATTTTTATCAAACGATCGCTGGTCTGTCTTATCACGGAGATTTTCGTATGACTTTTGGAGAGGACAAGTCTAAAATTTCAAAGATTGTGGTTCCTCAGCTGGCGAATTTCAGAGAATTGTACGAACCAGTTTTGAATTTGTTCGACCACTTTGTAGATATACCAAAGCTTCAATATACTCCTGTAGTTTGTCACCAGGATGACAGTCCCATAGCGAGGATCCATCACCTCAATCAGCTGCCGAGAACCCCGCAGAAAAAACTGGCCAAGTTTTGGTCCAAGGGAGGTCGCACGCAAGACATGGAAGATTGTCTTCGGGCTATCGCTCACGATCTCGACTGCAGTGATATTGTCCAAAGAGTCTTGAGTGACATTGTCTGGCGGTCCAGTGTCTCTCAGAGTATCAAGGGTATCGCTACCGCGGGATTGATCAAGTCGGTTAAGTACAGTGGCGCTAAAGTTATAAAAATGATCAAGTCTTTTGAATTTAAATCTGAGTTTAAAGACTTGCGGCAAGGTAGTCAGGAGCTTGAACAGAATTTTAAAAAAATTTTATCTGATTTTCAACACAAACAGGTGGCTAAAAATGAAGAGACAGAAGAAATTGAGAGCTCTAAAGAAAAGTCTTTGAGTCAGGAGAAAAAAATAATTGATCAAGAGTTGAAATTAAAGGAACAAGAAATAAAATTACGAGATCAGGAGAAAAAAATAAATGATCAAGAAATATTGTTGAGCAAAGGAAAAAATCAGCTAGAGCAAGAAATAGTTAAAAATGATTTATTAAATAAAACAAGTGATGATAAATCTAGTGCCAAAAAAAATTAATTTACGAAATAAAAATAGTATTAATCAATAAATTTAATTAATAGTAGTTAAAAAAAAAAAAACAATCTAAATTACCTAGCCGTACTGAAAATAATTTTATAAATAATTTCTGTTATAGTTTTAGAGTATGACGACAATGGATTCGGATTCAGAGAGTCAAGACAGCGATGAAGGGAGGCGTTTTCGTTTCGAGGCGACCCGAAAGGACGCGCATGCTACCCAATCAGCAGCACGTCGTCGCAAGCCGTCGCCGTTTCAACTGCATCGTCGTCCATCGAGGGAAAAATCCCGGGAACGGACTCGCCACGACAGGTCAAGGAGCCACGACAAGGACCGTAGGAAGGATCGGGATCGGCACAGTCGGGATCGTCACGGAAGAAGTGGCAGCAGCTCCAAGGAACCGGTCAGAAGCAACAAAAATTCCAAGGAAGATCGCAGCCGAAAAGACAGAGAAGATCGGCACCGCGATCACAATCACAAGAGTCTCCACAAGGACTACGACAAACGCGACTCCAGGTCGAGAGACTTCAAGCGGGACCGTCGTAGGTCCAGAGATTCCTATGACCGTCGCAGCGACAAGCGCGATCGCAGTCGTAAGTACTCCAGGGAGCGCGATCGGCACAAAAAGTCAAGAGATAACGAGCGAGTTGTTGAAGCAAGCACTGGCAATGGTGATAAAAATTCAACTCACGGTGACAATGATAGAATCTCCAATTTATCCAACCAAGACTGTAAAGATTTAAATTTAAGTGATTTTGATATCGTTTCTGACACCGAAGGCAATTCGCAGTCAGACTCGTCGCTGAGGGGAAGGAATTGGAGCAGAGATTCGCGGGATAGAAAGTCCAGGCTGAGATCGAGGTCCAGGTCCAGGTCTAGGGGAAAGAGTCGAGGATCCAAATCGAGGTCCAGGTCCAGGTCGAAACTCAAAGCTTCTCCGATAGAAATAGTTGGTGATGAAATAGTCATTGATAGTATCGGCAATGATAATGAAGAAGAGGAAGAAGAAGACGATGATGACTTGGAAAAATTCAACACAGATATCCTCCTGCATGCATCTACGTCCGCGCCATCATTAGATAGTGTTAATGATAATGATAATTTAAAAATATGTACAGATTTAATAGATAACTTAAGTGACGATGATGATAACAAAAACTACAGCAATTTAAATATTGATGATATTGAAGAAGAGAATCACGGTGAGAACAGTGGTGAAGTTGAAGCACCAAGCGCCAATTGCTACGGACCTACCTTGCCGCCTAAAAGTGTTGGAAATCCTGCCAAGTCGGTGTCGGAGACTAAAAATTCTGAGGTTAAAATTATTGGGCCTTGTTTGCCAGATGGCTTTAAGAAAATTGCTCAAGATGAGGATGAAGCTTTTGGACCCAGTTTACCACCGACGCTGCAGAGGGTCGGGGAGGAAAAGAAGCGGATTGGACCTTCGCTGCCCAGGCATCTGATGGAGCATCTGGAAGACGAGGACGACTATCTGATGGAGGTGGATGTTGAAGGAGAACCCGACGAGCTTGATGAAGAGGAAGAAATACTTGGACCCTTGCCTGCTGATCACCCGGCTATTGGTAGTGACAGGATTCAGAGGCAGTTGGAGTACAGGGCAAGGTTGATTAAAGAAGAACTTGCTGAGATTGTAAGTTTTTGTTGATATTTTTGGGCTAAATGTTGTTTTTTTAAAAGAATTAATTGTTTAATTTTTGTTTTATTAGGATTACCGAGAAGAAAAAAAACGGGAAGAATGGATGACTGAATTGCCGGCAGTGAGAGCTGCTAATTTAGGACTAGGTCCCAGGAAATTTCGTACGAAAGAAGGTCCTGATTTTTCAGATAGATCTAATTGGACTGATACACCTGCCGATCGTGAACGTAAACAAAAAGAGTTGAAGGTATTTTATATAATTTTTTTATTTGATTAGCAACCTTGCAGTCACTATGTGACTGCTGTGACTTGTGAACTATAAATAATCAAAAATTTTGCTCCATTAAATAATGACATTTGTTAAATTGCACTGTACTTTCTTAACTATTTACGTTTTTAAACATATAAGCTCATCCCAATGTTACACTCATCAAGAGCTTTCATTTGAGTACCCACATGCATTTTCATATATTTTTCATATATACATATATATATATAAATATATGAAAAATTGATGTGGGTAATCAAATGAAACGTCTCAATGAGTGTAATGTCGGGGTGAGCTTATATTTTTAAAAATGTCAATGGTTCACACGATACAAGATCATTTCTTAATTATGTATCTAGAGATAGAGCATTTTCTAATGCAGCCTAAATACATTATCATAAATTGACTATCGGTGAGAATGATATAATATGAAATCTTGAAAAGGCACAAATTCAAATCAAGACCTTTGTAATGACACTAAAAAAACCCATTTTATCATATGACAATCCTGGACACAAAATTTTTTTTATTCTCTTAATAATTAATAATTATTAAATTGTTTTAGATGGGCAAAAGACCTGCAGAAGCGATAGATGACAGTCCAAGAGAGAAATCAAGTAAAAGACATGAAAAATCGCTGCTTGAAATGCACCAGAAGAAATTAAATAAGAAAAGACGGGTATGAATTTTTTTGTATTTATTTGTCTATATTTATTTTTATTAGAAGGTAATTGAGTTGAGTAATTATTTGTTTATTTAATTACAGAAAGACGAAAAAGAAGCGAAAAAGAATCAAACAACAGTACGAAGACCATTTGACCGTGATATGGACATGCAGGTCAATCGTTTTGATGACGCGCGGAAGAAAAGTATTCTTATGAAAGCTCAAAAACTCGACGACAGATTTTCGCGTGGAAAAATGTAGACAATGTTGTTTTGTTATTTTTATGATTTTTTTTTTTTATTTTAAATATGCAGTAATAATAAGGAAAGAGTGCTGAGATGAATGAAAGGTTAGTTATGAATGAATGGTACGTGAAATTGGTGCCTTGTTATTTTTTTAATTTTATGGTAACCGATTTATAAACCAGACAAGACATCAATTAAATTTTTTAAAAATGAATTAATACAGTAAATTTTTCATAATTTAATCAACTAGTTACATAGTTTATTATTATATTCTATGTACTTTGTAATCAAGTGAAATATGTAAATAATTACATAAATTGGTCATTAGTTATCACAGCGATATCTAAGAAAGAACATTAATCAATTAGTCATTAATTAATACTGATATTATTATTATTAAAAGTTTCTTTTTTTTTTTAATTTGATGTATAGATGTAATTATTATTGTTTAATTAATTTGTTTTTATTATCATGCCAGTTAATATAAATTCTCCATGTAATTAATTTGAATAGGTGTCATTTGTTACACTAGATTAAACAATTAAACCATCACGCGCTAAGAATAATGAATTATTTATTTTACTTTGTTTTAATTTTATTTTTTTTTAAATACCGATTCGCAAACGCTTTGAAATTAAATACCATGTGTATCATGCTTATCAATTTACGAGAAAATAATGGTTTATAATAGAGAAAAGTGACTTATAAATAAAAACAATTTATCAGGGAATTTTGATTATTTATTAGAGAAATATTTTGTTAGTAGAATGAATTAATCGACTTTTTAAATTATTCATACCTTATAAAAAATTTAATTATCAGCTCAATAATTTGTAAATGATTTTTTAGTTTTAGTTCCGTCAATTAATTTAAAAACAAACTTATTTTTAAAATAATTTCCTTAAAAAAAATTAAATTTTCTCATTTATTTAATTAAATAAATGTTAATTAATATAAAAATCAATTATTCAGAATTTATTTTATTAAGGAGGTATTGTGGCAAATAAAGACACCAATATGTTCCAGCTATTGGTTTCTTTTTCACGCACTAGTGCTGCCCCTCTTTACAGACTATCGTTCACTTACTTCCACTCACGTAAAATATCGAAAGTCGCTAACTTCAAATATTTTTTATAAAAAAAATTAGAAAAACGGTTCACCCTAAAGGCCATCCCTGCAACTTCCCGCTCATTTTGTACTTAAACGCTTCAAACTACACATTACGTTTTTGAGCTCTTCGAGCTCAAAAATATTGTTTTTGTGTCAATTTGAGCTCTTCGAGCTCAAAACTCTAATAGCAGTTTAAACACACAATTTTTTGAATTTTCAAACGGCAATAACTTTTGAATGAATGAACCGATTTTCAGGTGGTTGGCGGCAATCGACGCAGTTTTTTGAACTCTATAAAAAAAGTAGCAGTTTAAATCGATCAAGCCATGAATTTAGAAAGTATTACAAAAAAACACTTTTTTCGACAACGATATCTCACGAAAGCATCAACCGATTCTAACGTTTTTGGTAGCGATCGATGGGGGTTTTCAAGGTTAAGACCTGATTAGATTTTGAGACCGATTGGTTCAGCCAATTCGGAGATATTTAAAAAAAATAAAAAAAAAAAAAAACAACTTTTTTTTCACTTTTTTGCAATCGACGCAGTTTTTGAAGTTCCATAAAAAATTTTCAATTTTAAATCGATCGACCATGAATTTCGAAGTTATTACAAAAAAAACACTTTTTTCGATTTTTTTCGACAACGATATCTCACGAACGCATCAACCGATTCTAACGTTTTTGGTGGCGATCGATGGTGGTTTTCAAGGTTAAGAGCTGATTAGATTTTGAGACCGATCGGTTTAGCCAATTCGGAGATATTTAAAAAAAATTAAAAAAAAAAACAACTTTTTTTTTCACTTTTTTTGCATTTTCTTGAAATCTACCGGTCTGAATCGGTTCAAATTTTCAGGAAATCTAAGTTTGGGCAAGCCCTTTCGAATGGCGCCAACCGCGATCAAATCGGTCAAGCCGTTCAAAAGTTACAAGAGGTTTACATACATACATACATACATACACACACACACACACACACACACACACACACACACACACACACACACACACACACACACACAGACGTACGGACATCAACGTAAAAAATAGTCAAGGAAGCTTCCTGTGACCTTCAAACGTCGAGATTTGATGAAAACTCGATTTTTGTAAAACGGGGTGAAAACAATAACTTCCCGATTTTTGAAAATCTGAGATTTTTAGCGGGAAGTTAAAAATGAATACTGCTCGTTTATGATATTTTTGATAGAAAATACTTAGTATAACTTCAATTAAATATTCTCAGTTTTTCAAAAAAATTCTAAGAAAAGTTTGGTTGTTATTCTAATAAAATGTTCGCTCTAACTACGGTCAGGATAGGAAATACATGTTAGGTGTACGATTTTTAATCGCTAATATTTCGAAAATTAGCACCGCAAGAACTATTAAAAAAAATTTGTTCGTATAGAGAACACTTAGAAGTACGCGTATTAAAAAATTGAAGAATATTATAAGATAAGTGATTTTTCACAATACCTCCTTAATTTATACATTTTTAGTTATAAATAAAAATTTTAATTAAGTAAATTTATTTTTAAAAAATTTAAAGTTTCCCGCAAAAATAAACATTTAAATGGCGGCGCTCCGGCCAATGAGAGCGCTCTAAATTTCCGTTAGCGTTTAAGTTTAATTTGATTGGAAGAGGCAGCCATGTTCCCATCATTGAGCTCGAAACTGTGTCCCGGAGTAAATGTGCTTTGTAATCCCGCGCCAAATATTGCATTTATTGATAAAATTAATAAATTCGCAAGTACTTTCTAATTAAAATCAGTTAATTTAAGTAATTATCAATATTTATAAACTATTTATTGTCAGTATTATCAATTTATATTACATTTTATTATTTATTATTAAATACCGAAAAATTCTGCTTGATTCCAATCTACTGTTATAAAACTAAAGTATTACTCATCATCATTACCTTATCCGTCATTTTTTTAAGAAAATAGAAGAAGGACCAGCATCTCCAGGAGCATCATTCCCATTTCCCGTCAACTGGCATCGACCGGTAGAGAAATAGCAGTTAAGTGATGAAATGTTGGCTGATGTTATTATAATCAAAATGGAAGACATTTATAATTTTTTATCAACAATTTGCTCATTAAAAAAAAATTCATACTATTTTTAAAATATTCTTCATATTTAATTTTTTTTTTCAACATTTAATTAATTGTCATACAATAATTTTTTTTCTGTCCCATTTTGATTATCATGACAAACACTTGGATTTGCTGAAGTGTTTAATAACCCTTCTGCATATTATTTCTCTGCCGAGGTTTGTAAAAAAATTTATAAATAATTTTTTTCTGCTTATTTATCATTTATGACACTTGACAATTTTTTTAAAAATAAACTAGGTCTAAAAATTTCTTTTTGAAAAATTACATTTATACTTTTTCTATAACTTTTAAAGATGAAATTTTTAAAATAAATTTTTCTTGCTATAATTTATTTATTAAAAAAATTATCACATATCTCTCAATTTCAAAATCATTATCATTTAAATTGAATTGCAATTTTTAAAAATGAAACTAAAAATTCTACAAATTTTATCAATGGTAGTTTTTTACCATTCACTGATAAAATACCTTCCTGTACTTACACATAATAACTGTTCTATACAAGTTATGTATTTATATATAGTTCATTACATGTATTTATATGCATTTATAACCTTTTTGCAACTCCAGTACCCAGTCTTCATTATAATTTAAATAAAAACTCCAAAAAATACGCGATTTACAATTAAGAAACAATGTTTATAAATATTTAAATAGTTCAGTGATAAATAAAAATTATCAATAGTTTAATACATTTAAAAATAACCATGGATGTAAGAGGTATTGAAGTAACAAATCAATTACGAGTAAGTATTTACATTTTTTACCCACCAATTATTTATTTACATCAACCTCAATTCAAAAACCACCTTAAAAAATTTTTATTAAAATTATAAACTATTTTCTAAGAATCATAACCTATTTTTAGAGCGCGATAAGAGCAAAACTCTTAGAACTTGGAGTCCGTTATGATGAAGAGCTACCGGATTACATTCTGGTGATGGTAGTGAACAAAAAAACCCGTCAGCAGATGCACGAAGACCTTAATTTGTTCCTGGAGGACAGTACGACGCCGTTTGTTGACTGGTTGCATGACCAGGTGCTGAAGAAGCTCCAAAAAGTAACTGTGGCGAAGCAAAAGAAAGCCCAGCGAGAGTTTGTGCCAACAGTTGTCGTCAAACAGGAGGAAGAAAAGCGTAAGAAGAAAATAGGGGATGAACTTAAGGTAAAAAATGAGCCGGTTAATGAATCTAAAGCAACTACACCCCCAGTTGTGAGTCCGGCTCCAAAAAGTCCTAGCTTGAGTCCCAGGCCTAGAGTGAATTCTGAAAGTTCTAAGGCGAAGGTAGTGGAGGAAAATGAACAGATTTTGGAGCCGGAAAAAGTAAACCAGGTCCCAGTTGTTGAAGATAAGGTCAAAAGGAGCATTGAAGATGATTCCCAGCGACCTGACAAGCGTTTAAAAAGCGCTGACTCCAAGGATGCAGAGGCTGATGAAAGTGAAGGTAAAAAGTTGAAGTCTTGCGTGAATAAACCGCGAATTACTTCAGTTGTTTCAGTGAAAACACGGCTGGGTCTTGCGAGGAATAAATTTGAAGTTCAACGGAACGAGAGGGAGAGAGTCGAAGCTGGACGGAATGAGGCTGATCGCAGACAAGCTGATAAAAGAGCTGACAGGAGGCTTTACGAGCCAAGACGGGATTCTCGTGGCAGAGACGACAAAAGATCCAGGTCCAGGGAAGAAAAGAACCGAGTGGTGGTGGACAAGAGGCCGAAGGAAGACAGAGATAGAGAGAAAGACAGGGAGAGGGAGAGGAGGACTGACAGAGCTGAGAGGACAATTAAAGATCGGCTTGGACAGATGAAACCCGGGGGGAAATTCAAGGACAAGCCTGATGAGCCGAGAAATGTCAGGAGCAGACTGGGACCAGTCAAGAGCAAATTCATCGCTTTGGGGAGGCTGGGTGTCAAAGTTCGGGAGGATGACAAGCAAGAGGATGATGATGATGAGGAAGAGGAAGTTGTTGGTCCTGTGAGGTCGAGGATCATCGCTGTTAACAATGTGGATAAGCCCGAGCACAAGGATGGCGATAAAGATGGAGAGGAGGAGGAAGAGGAGGATAAGGATAAAGATAAAGACAAAGTTATTGCTAGTAAAGTTATCGTAACACCCCGGCCGCTTAAACCTCTTCAGCCGGCTCAGAAAAGAGCCACCCAGTCGCTCCTCCTCAGGGCTGTCGCGGAAGCCAATCAGTCGGTTGTTAAACAAAAAAATCCGGAGCCTGCTTTGCTGGTGAGTAGACGCAGGTGTATGCTTTGATATGTTTGTCTTGGGTATTGTTGTTTGGATGATGAGCGATTTTTTTAAACGACTATTAGTTTTTTTTTTTTTTTTTTATTTTATTTTATTAATTAGGTTTGTGCATGATTTTTATTTATTGTAATTTTTATAGTCGTTTAAAAAAGTATAGAGAGTTTATAAAATTATAAAATTTGTTAATATTTGAAATTTATATTGTATTAATATAAATAAAGACGTAAAGAAATTTAATTGTAAATTTAAAAATTTTGTTACTTATCCTTGATTAATGAATTTTATAATTTATTATTGTAATAAAAGAAAAGAATATTGACAATAAATATTTGCTAGGATAAAAAACCTGTTTTAAAACGATTACAACCGATAAATATGAGAACCAGTGGACAAAATTTTTCCGTGCATTTAAATGCAACGAAGCGATTGGTCATGGAGAAAATTCAAGTTGAATTGACTACTTCTGACAGTAATCGAACGGAGCCAGAACCTTGTAAGTTTATTTTAATTTTTATTCAAAATTATAAATTTTCTAAGTTTAAATTAATTAATTAATTTTAGATGTACCTAGAGCTGTTACTGATGAACAAATGGGCGTTGTAATGTCATTATTCAAGCGAGGTAATGATAATCAAAAATTTCTAGTCACTTTAAATGGTTATAATAATAATGTTAATAAAGAAGACAGTTATTCTGAGGACGACGGCTTGGAAATGGAGGTAAATATTTTTTTTTTTTTTTATTATATATAAAATACATAATACATTTTTTAAATTATAGAGTAATTAATATCTTTATTAAATTAAAAATAATCTTCCAGGTAAATGAAGACGACGAATTAATTTTAAACAATAGCCAGAGTGAGTCATTTATAACCAACTCGGGAATCTCATTAGAAGCTGAAGAAATAGACGACACTATCGACAACACTGACAGTAATTTAGAAAATTCAGAGCTTGATAATCTAAACATCACAGAGGAGGTCGAAACCATCGAGGCTGTTGACGACCAGGAGAAGATAGAGACTGCTGAAAACAATGAAAATCAGTGCACTGATAACATCAATAATCTAATAAACGAAGTGACGCCGCCTAAGCGTAGAAAATTGAGTCCCATCGTTTACACGCGATCGCCGTCACCAGAGAAGACTAAAACCGTGTTATCAACGGTCACTGCAGTGGACAAAAAATCGTCAGTAGCCACGATCTTGCCCGATAAGTCCAGAGATAAATGTCGGTACTGGCCAAACTGTACGCTGGGAAATAAATGCGCGTTCATGCATCCTCCAGTTCCTTGCAGGTAACTAATCTTAATCATTTAAGTCAATATACTAGCAACCTTGCGGACATTATGTGACTGCCTTGACTTATGAACTATAAATAATTAAATTTTTGCTTCATTAAATAATGACTTTTGTTAAATTGCACTGTATTTTTTCAACTATTGACGTTTTTAAAGATACAAGATCATCCCGATGTTACACTCATCAAGAGCTTTTATTCGAGTACCCACATGCATTTTGATATATTTTTCATATATACATATATATAATATATATAAATATATAAAAAATTGATGTGGGTACTCAAATGAAAGGTCTCGATGAGTGTAATATCGAGGTGAGCTTATATTCTTAAACATTTCAATGGTTCATAAGATAAAAGGTCGTTTCTTAATTATGTATCTAGAGATAGAGAATTTTCGAATGCAGCCTAAATACTTATCATCATAAATTGACTATCTGTGAGAATGATATGAAACCTTGAAAAGGTACAAATTCAAGTAAAGACCTTTGCCATGACATTAAATTTTACTAAAAAAACCGATTTTATCTTGTGACTATCCTGGAGACAAAATTATTCTTATTTTCTTAATAATATAGATTACTTTCCTAAATTCCAAAACTTCTTATTCTGTTACAGCGCATTCCCCGCATGCAAATTCGGTGATAAATGTGCATACAAACATCCGAAATGTAAGTTTGGTTTGTCTTGCACTAAATTAGGATGCGTATTTTCGCATCCATCACAGCAGTGCAAGTACCATCCGTTCTGTACAAAACCGGGGTGTATGTATTTACACCCTCAAGCAGTACCCGCACCTGTTGTTATTCCAGCAGCCGCTACTGCATCAGCTCCTCTGGAATCTGTTCGTGCTAAATTTACGTGGCGCAGACGTGATTAATGAGGTGATTTAATTCCTCGACATAAATAATCCTACACAACAATATTTTTATTGAATTGTGTTAGTTGAGGGTTGAGATTAATTATATATATTATATATATAATTATTATTAATTGTTTAAATAACTAATATAAATTGATATTATATATTGATCAAGATTAGTATCATAAGCTTATTATTATGATTATTAATAAAATTATAGTATGATTAATTGCAAATAATTGAACATTTTGTTTTCTTTAAATAAAGAATATGTACAAATTAAATCTATTGATTTTCCTCCGAGATTTTCACCCACTTTTTTACCGTCAACATGACTAGATAAAAAGTCAATTGAATGGACTTTTTTAACTGGACAAAAAATATATTTTTTGTCAACTGACGCATTGTCGTGACTGCAACAAACATTCAATTGAATGTCGAGCGTCAATATTGACGGCCATTCATACGCTCGGATATTATACGCCCAATTTTCGGAGATAAATACAATCTATGATAATGTTTTATGCAACGATTTTTTACTTTGTATAAATTATAGCTTTGTATAATATATATCTCGATAATTACGGAGAAAAAATTGTTGAAAATGTATGAAAGTGATGTTATTTTGATAATAAATTCCTCGGTCCTTAAGTTAAATTGGTTGGGCGTTCATTCGACTTAATCGGAAGCTTAGAAAAATACCCCGGTATAAAGCAGTTACTTATTTCGCTCGATAGAGTTTACTGAATCGACACAATTGCAATTTTGGTTGTTGGTTCCATTATTATTTTTTTTTTAATAGCAGCTAGTAGTTAAGATGTTAAATTGGGCGGTTATAAATTTAACCGCGCCAAAAAGTTTGATAAATACATTCGGAAAGAGTAAACAACTAAGTTCCTTTAAAAACTTGACCCTTTACATTTAAAGTTACCTTTCTTGTATTTATATTCTTTGAAAATATAAAATTTTTTTGTTACAAACATTTTTTTAGTTTGTATAACTGTTTTTTATTTACTTTTTTTTTTTACGATGAATTACTTTTTAAATGAAAAAAGCCTAATTGGCCTCATCCATTTTTATTCAATATCGCGAACAAGTTTATCCAATCAACAAAGCTAACAATTAACAATTTTTGACAACTCATTGTGAAAGAAATCAATAAAATAAAATAAAAATAAAAACATGATGACTGTGACTGGTTACTAGGATGTTTGCAATAGCGTGAATTTCACTCCAGGCTAAAAAAAAACACACCATAAATTTATAATAATTATAACTCTTTATTTAAATAAAAAACTTGACAAATAAAAATAAACTATACAACATAAACAATTTAAAAGTTCAAACAAATATTAACCGAGCATTGAACAGCAAACAATTAAGCCCGCCATTGACCATCACTCATCACAAATATATATTTACTTCAGTAATTTACATAAAAAAAACCTCCCAAATCCCAATGGCTCTCATTATTTTTAATGGCCGTGACGTACTTTCATTAACATCTAGATTTGGAATAGAAAAAATAACGAAAAAACTAGTCTCTTGTTCCCGCGGTAATAAACTTAAATAAAATAAAAGTCGTCGAACTTGGCAAACGCGAACAATTTTATAGTTAATATAATCTCCGATAAATTTATTTTTTATAAAAAATTTATAATACTGTCCAGCCAGTAACATATTTTCGGACAAATAAATAATATAAATACTCTTATACATATTTAATATTATATATCATATATTTAGGGGATAAATAATCCCATTAACAAAGTCAACAAACAAGTAAGCTGAAGTAGTGATTGAGGGGTTATACGCGCTTGGAATTTTTAAAAAATCAATTTTTTGTAATGTACATATACTTAAGTATGCACACAGAAAATTTAATGCCAATTCGATGAGTAGTTTTAAAGTTATCCAAATATTTATAAAGCCTGATCGGAGCGTTAAAACTTCAATTGGACTAAGCCCGAACAAGTTTAAACGTCTTTTTTTCAAAACTCGATTTTTAAAGTCGGTGAACAAGATTTATCGAACAACCGCTGATAAGATCAGTCTCTAATTTTGAAACTATTTTTTTAACTAGATTTTTCAGTAATTGATCCAAGGATTAATAATTCCGAAAACTATTTTAGATTTTTATAAACAATTTGAGGCTCAAATTTTCATTAAAAATCGTTTATTTTTTTTTTTATTGACCCGCCAATTTTTTAAAAATAGATATTTTGGTAATTCTTTGAATTAATCACTAGATAATATCTTATATTAGTGAAATTTGTTTAGATTTTTTAATTTCAATTAAACCTTTTTTGATTGATTGTAAAAAAAGAACTTATTAATAAAATAAAAAGTAATTACTTTATGTATATCAATTCTCATATTAATCAATTAAAAATTCTCTTCAGAAAAAATGATTAAAAAATCGTTTTTTTCGGCCTTCTAAGATCGTATAACCCCTCAAGGGTGATTAATGATACACACCAGCTCTTAATTATCAAGGAACATTTTTATTTTAAATTTGGTAGTTCAATGGCTTCATTAACGACACACTTAAAAGGGTTTTAATGTCTCAATGTTTTTATCTTCTTATCTTACAATTAATAATAATATTAACATTCAACACTTTTGATCACACTGGTCATCAATAAAAGTGTCGTGCGGTAGAACACTAAATGTTGTCTGAGTAATTTCAGTAACACAAGAGCTTCCAGAAGCTGGTGTCACTGTTGGAATCACTGAGGGTGTGAGTAGAGGTGTGCCTTGGAGGCCTATTGCAAGAGGCAATGCACTAGAGGGAGTACACATACCCGGAAGAGCCGCCCGTCCTTCGTTAACTGAACGGTAACGTGGCAGTCGGGCATATCTGTAATCGGAAAAAATTTATTTCAATTTAATCTAGAGAAAAATAATCCAAGTAAAATTTTTTTATGAAGAAATAATTATTAAATAAAATTAATACCTATAACATTTACACTTGAGTAAGCGAATGAATGCGGCGCGAAACGTCTGATTGAACACGGTGTAAATAATGGGGTTGATTGTAGAGGAAACGTAGCCGAGCCAAAGGCAGGTGTCGACCACGTGGTTTGGCACATTGCAATCCGGACACGCTGCGAAGAAAATGTTGAGGATGAAGAATGGCGCCCAGCAAAAGACAAATGTGAAAAATACTAAGCCCAAGACTTTGCTGGCTTTTTGTTCCGTCGCGACCGCGTTTGCCGCCGGTGATCGCTTGGATCTTCCCTGTAGAAACCTGTTAACATTTCTTATAAATTATATTATTATTAATTATTGAATTATTTGAAAAATTTTAATTAAGCTTCGATTAATTTTCAAATTTTTAATACTTTTTTAATGCTGTCAATTAACTAGAGAATTTTTATAATTTTTTCAATGATTTTTTTTGAACTCATTAAGGGGAAAATCCCTTTGTACAGCTCAAAATTAAATTATTTATTATTGTTTTTATAGATGACAAAAAAATCATAATTTTTAAGTCTTAAAATTATTTTATTTGAATTCTAAAATTTAATTTTTAAAAATTTCTTAATTAATTTCCCTCTTTAATTGTTTTTTGAATTTCTATCAATTAAACCCGAATTATAATTCAAAACTAATTGCTCGCTCTGCAAATCTATTGCTATTAAAATAATTAGACATTCGTAAGTTTCATTTAAAGCTCCATAATGTAATTAGTTTTAAAACTTTCCAACTATCGGATTACTCCTCTAAAATTAACAAAAAGTTTAAATACTTCGTTTAGCGATCGCTCTTCTTTGTTTCATTATTTTTTCCATCACAATAAATTTCTTAGTAATTAAATTAATTGTAATAAAAGTTATAGCAGAAATAAAGGATTGTATTTATCATTAAAGCATTAAATTGTAATCAACATAGCCGGCAAAGTTTAAAAGTTTTGAATTCCGTAGCAGTGTAATCCTATTTGTAGAATTCCAAAGAGGATTCGAGTCGAGTTTAGATAGGAGTGGATGAGAGTATGAATTCAAGACGGGCAACTTCTGTTGATATATAAAGGATAACCCGAATTAACATGACACAAGAATGTTCTTGAGAGTCCACTGCTGAGCTGTACTGAGTAGCAATGCGAGCTAGGATGAGCATCTCCGGACTCCGTATTAGTATTAGAGTTGAGTTGAGTTGCCTCACTTGAGTGTTCCCGGATCGATTTTGGAATTCTAGCAAGTCCGTACTTTCGTGACCAATGTGTTCGCAAGTAATTCAATTACTGACGACCTATTCCTCATTTATCATACCCTAACTTTTGTTGCGAGTCTATCTGTTCATTTACATGCGTAATCTTCGTTAGTTTTCGTTGTTTAATTAACAATCTGTTAATTAATCATTCAGAATCAATTGTCATATTTGTTTCAATGGTTTCACTGATATAATGACTTGTTAATATTTATATAATGACTCTTATTAACTGTTACTGAATTATTTTTTAACATTCGATGATTTAATAAAGAATTAATAACAGTTTGTAAATCATTTATTGGGATTTATTAACAATTAGTAAATATTTATTGAGAAGTAATTAATATTTAATAATAGTTATACAGATAAAAAAATTTACTTGAATCAAGAAAATAATTTTGGAGAATTTCATCATCTTTTTTCAAGTATAAAAATTCTTAAACTAAGAAATTTTTTTTTGGTTTAAGTTAATTTTATTTGATTCAGGAATTTTTTTCTTGATTCAAATTAATTTTTTTTCCTGTACAACAAATCGTTTATTAAGTACAATTTATTAACTCGTAATAAATATTTATTAGTTGTTAATAAATATTTTTTTAGACTCTTGAATAAAAAGTTTGATTCGAAAACTTCAACCAAAAATTATTATTTAAAACCTAAAGACATTTTAAATTTTCTTTAATAAATTCCTAAAAATATTTCCCTGATTAAAAACAAAAAAAGAACTAGAACAATTTCATTTTGTTTATTCACTTTTACTCTTTTCAATCTATCAATACAAACCAAATAACTTCAGCGAACAAACTAGAGATATAAAAGTAGAAGGTGGAAGAGAAGTGCATAACAATTCACCTGAGATTTAGATTTGTTGGCGCGACGTTGAGGTGAAGTTTGAGGGATCTAAGTCGGAAGTTTCTCGTCTCACGCGCAATATTTTCCGGAGTTTGTATCGCCTGATCGGTCTTGCTGATGCACCTGCGTACTTGCAGTTGCAGAGTCGAGTCCACATCCGTCTCTTGAGTAACTCCATTAAGTTCGCAGCTTGATGGTGACGTGCTCGTACCCCGGCTATTAACATAATGCATCCGAGATTTAGTCCAACTGTACTGACTTGTTCATATGTACAATATATATTCATATATGGAGAAACTTTTCTTATAATCAGTTAATCATACTCTACTCTCTTAAAAACAATCAGTGGAATTTCACTGGTTCACCAGTGGACGTTCACTGATTCCAACCAGTGATGCAAATTCACTGGTGAATCAGTGAAATCCACTGATTGAATCAGTGAACAAAATATCTGCGCGCATGCGCGCTATCTAGTATCTCCACTGGTTGGAACCAGTGAAATTCCACTGATTTCTTTTAAGAGAGTACTTTTATATATTTATTAAACTTTACTTATTAGATTATTAGGATTGAGAATCCTACCCCCGCTCCTCGCATTTCATTTCCGTTTTAAAAATATTAAATAAAATCTAAGTAAAAATAAATTGCACCGCAACTTTGTGGGAGTATGACATCCTTACTCAGAGATCCACTTTTCCAACTAACAAACTACTTACAAAGTTAATCCATATGACATGTCTACTCTGAAATAGTGAACAAAACTTTTTCTTATTTAAATAACTCTGAAAAATCGTATCAAGTACGATAAATGTTTTTTTTTTGTACAAAAATAGGTTACGGATTAAAAATAGTTCTTAATTTTTCATGAAAAATTTTTCTTAATTCAAGATTACTTTGTCTTGAATCGTTATTTTTTTTTTCAGTGCAGAATTGGCAAATTAAATATAATTTTTGTGATAAAACTAGCCCATACAACAATTTTTCAAATTTTGACAATTTGCTATCAAGTTCAATTTTAAAAAATTGTGAAAAACAGTGGAGCCATAAAAATAACTGAATAATCAATGTTAAAAATATTTAAAAAAGTATTCCGTCGATCATTAATAGCCGACTAACGCGGTAATGGAAATGTCATAAAAGGAAATAGATCTATTAATAAATGAATGATGGACGAATTTGTTAACTCACCCGATACGGGCACGGGATGCCTATCGATCGAGAACGTTACAGTCTGAAGACTTAGTTCCTTCTGATTCTCAGTTCTGATGATTTATGGGATATTTTAGCAGAGTCATATAAATACTAACGTGCTGACGGATTTCCGATTCTTTGTTTTTGTTTTAAATAAATTAATCTCAATGTATGACTGTCGGTGAGAAATCGGTTTGTTCGCGCTTTCGAGGCCATTAAAAATTTTTCGTATAGAAAAGAATGTAATTGTAAAATTTATTGAAATAATAAAATTTATTATTTAAACATTAAAAATTTTTTTTTAACGATTTTTTTTATTTTTGAACATTGATTTAATTAAAAAAAAAAAAATTTTTAAGCTTACCTATTGCCAGTAGTACTTCCACCAGAAAACCTCCACAGTTGTCTAGAAGACAGTGCACTAGAAGTAGGCCTAGAGTGGGTATGATGCGACTTTGTCGAGGAATACCTCCCTCCAAGCCTTCTAAATTCGTCGCCCATGGTTTGCTTATGAATAAACCGCGCTTTCTTACGCAGTAACTGAACAGTTAGGACGTAAGTGATTACCATTACGATCATTGGTATGTAAAATGCTACCAACGAACCAAATACGAAGAAAGCTCGATTATTTATCATACATATATCCGGTCTTGGCATTATATTCATTGGATTTGTCAATCCTAAAAAAAAAAAAAGAAATAAAATTCTTACTTTACATTAAACTACATTGCCTACACTGCTAAAATTTATAAATTCACTTACGGAGACTTAATAAATCATTCAGGACTTTGATTAGATTCATTAATTCGCTTTTATTTAAGATTTGGCAAGTTTTTCCGCTAGCGTAGACGTAAATTGAAATAAATGTCAGTATTACTGTCAACATGTGTGTAAAATCTATTGTACATATTTTTTTTAGCGAATACGTATGTTGTACTTGTTTTCAACATATATTTCCGCGTGAGTAAGCCAAGAATAATAATTTATTTTTGGGCTGAAATCATATTGCTATCCAATGTAAACATTTTTAAAGATCATACTACTTTAAATTTTTTCAAGAAATCAAATTTTTTAATTACAAAAAAATTTTATATCAATCAAAAATGTTTATAAAATAATATCAAACAAATATTCTTTCAAGTAATCAAAAAATATTTTATGGAAAATATTGATGGTCCTTTATTAAATTACCACAGAGTTGAAATTGACCAGAATTACTGAATTTCCTCCATATGCAGATATATTAGTGCATAAACTTTGGTTCAGAAACATCAATTAAAGAGATTAATAGTCTACAATAAAAGTCTCGCATGGCCGAATTAATTTGGTTATCCTTGTTAGAGTTACTTCTGATACAAGCTTATAAATTTAATGCGATTACTGTTCAACCAGATGCTTCTCCGAGCTTAGTAGTTTACTTACATTGTTACCGTGTTACATTACTAAAATAAAATCTCGGTAATATAATTTTGACCGAAACTATCAACCACCTACGACCTAAGGACTAGCCCGCGGGAGCATTTTTTTCGGCACGGACCACGGCTAGAACGGGTTGCAAAAGTGATAAGAAAGTTATAATTTATAATTCAGCAGATTAACCCGTGATGACCGACTGACGCGAACTAACATAATGACTTTAGTAACCTCACGGGAGATATGTCGCAATGCATTTAGGGCTGCGACGTTGCCAGGATTACATCCATGGTCAGCGGTTGGCTGGAGGACAGAAGAGCTCGGGCTTAATTTTGGCAACCTCGCTCTCGCTAACAGAGACTGGTAATCCTTGTGGTCACTTTATCACACAAGTGTCCTGATTTAGCGATATTTTTAATTTAGCTTTTTTGTTAATTATTTCGAGCTCAAAGGAGATGAAATATTTCTTTAATGCTTTTAATTAAATAATGGACTTTTATCTTTTTTTTCAATTATGTTTTTTAATTTTCAAATAAAAATTCCCTGAAGAGTATGTATTTTTTTTTTTTTTTAATAGATCAGAAATATCGAATAAAAAAATGAATAAATTTACCTAATACTGTAATTGAACTGGACACAAGCAAGGCTAGACACCAAACAGCTGCTATTTTAAATGCATTGGACCGCATCGTTGAGTCACGTCGTGTCTCTACCGGTCTCCTTACGCCGAGATATCGACCGAGTGAAATAAAACACATGTGCAATATGCTCGAGGAACACGCAAGTACATCGCATGTAACGTAAACATTGCACCAAATTTCCCCAAAAGGCCAATATCCTGAAAAATAAAAAGGATTAATTAATTAAAAATTTTTTAGTTAATGAAAATAAAAGCATTTAGTTAATTTTTACCATCATTATTATTATTTAAAAATTCTTAAGATAAAAGCAATCGATTTAGGCTCCCATAGCATTTGAAGTAATCGAGTGAAAGAATAATTTTTCCGTTAGACAATTCTTAACGCTTTGTGATTGCATTAAGTGAGCATCGTATAAAGTATAGAAATAAAACTCGTAAGTAACTTTTCTGCAAAGAAGTCGTAAACTAGGAACCGGTGACGGGTGACAAAAGTGGAGGATCGAAAAGTAGACAATGAAATTATAATAAAAATAAGTTGATGCAGAGAGTGAAAATTTCTTAACTTATTTCTTTCCGAGCACTTTATTCTCTGGGTATTTTGTTCTTGGACTTTTTATGCCAAGAGCTGAACGATCAGAAAATCCGGTTTAGATTGAAAGAATAAATATCGCACTATTGTCGTCAAAATTTTATTATTGGAAGTATATTTTTATTGATTTTGGTTTTTATTAAACTTTTGAAACTTCGGAATTACTTTTAAATTGTTAGCTTTTGGATTATTGTCCTTCGATTCATAAATTTCATAGGAAATAAAACAAAGAGTACTTTGATTCTATAAATTTTAAACTTTAAGAATCTATTAAGTACTAAATTTTGAACAAAAAAATTTGAGAATTCTTTCAGAGCTGCTTATTTTTGAAAAATTTCAAACTGCAATATCTTCTGAACGCGTCATTCGATTTTAATTTTTTTAACAGTATTCGACGCAGTTTTTCAAGTACAAAACGTGTATACAAGGTTTTAAGTCGATTAGTCGAAGAATTTGAAAGTTATTTTAAAAAACCTTAAAAAATTTTAAAGAAAAGATTCAAATTATAATTTTGATCTTTTTGATAATCAAAATTGACACATTATATGGACACAATAAATGCAAATTATAAATGTAATAAATGTACAAGCATGAATATCGCCAAGGTCTCTAATAAATTAACAGTGGATGAACCATGCTTACACTTTTGATTACCGAAGGACGTACTCAAACATAAACGAAGTAGATTTAACTGACATTCTAATTACGACCCCGGATAAGGAGGGCACGTACCAGGGCATAAACTCATAAGTTATTAAATTTTGTATAATAAACCCTCGTTTCATTAGTAACACACATGATAATTATATCACCCATAATTACAATTATACATTCAAGTATAGTAGCTTCGAAAATCTACCCGTCAAGAAAAAGTGATAATAACTATACTCTGTTGTGATTAACGAACAATTACGTTTGCATGAATCAATTCTCTGCAGACGGCGTTCTCAGTTCAGTTAAGTTGTACACGTCAACAGCTCGAAGACAATTTACTAAAATACAATTGCGTTTAATCAAGCGTGTAGATTGAATCATTATTACCTCAGACCTTTCCTCTCTAATCACCAATTTAAATGCATCACTACCGTAGATAATAGTTTCTCTCGGGCGCAACAGTCTGCATAATAGTTTACACTCGAAAAATTTTGAAGCATCTATCATTATTATTAATATCTTCTTCATTTTTGAGGCAATTTTAAGCTTCGATTAATTTATTTTTTATCTAAGTAATTATTTAACAAAATAATTACTTATTATTATTTAATTAATTTTTTAACAAACAAAAATATTTATCGAAATAATTTTTTTTTTTCCGAAATATTTTATTAAAAATACTTTGGTACTTTTTTTGGCCTATAATATATTATTTAATTATGATAAATTAGTTCATTAGAATATGTACAAAATTAAAAATTCACAAAGAATATTAAAATCATATAACAGAATTACCAAAAATTTATGTCCGTGGTATCTAATAAGTTTAAAATTTATATCGAATCCATAAATTCGCATAATCTATTATACATTAAGAGGAATTACTTGTGAAATACTGCACTTAGGAAGCAGTTAATTGTGCATGAACATCCTCGTACCTTAGCTTAAATATTTTAACAGTTCATTATTTTATTTAATTACAATTAACTTTCACTATTTTTATCTTATTTTAACTATATTATCTTCTTTATATTCTCTATTTGTCTCGGGTATACGATTGATTTAGCTTAAATGAGATTTTAAATGAATTTTTTATAATATTTACTTAGTAGAGTGTAAAATATTTTCCTATTCTTTTTTACAGTGAATAGAGAATTGAAAAATAAAGTACGTAGATTTTCAATTCCAGAAGCACGACTTTATTTTTTTAGATTTCCATTTCCGTTTGTTGTATATCTTCTACGGATTCGTTCAGTTTTCAGTATATTGAATTTTTAAACGGTTGTTTTTATCCCTTAATGCTCCTCGTTACGGTTTATATGTTTACTAAAATTTTAAATTCACATGTACGATCAGGATGTTGGTTAACTAAGCCATTATTCGATAAACGTTTAATGAAGTTGATGAAAAAAATTTCAGTGGTCTTAAATTTAATCATAAAAAATCGAAAAAATTGATTGAATGCCTCTAAATTTATTGAAAAAATTTCCCGCTTTTAAATTTTATTTAATTTTCTAAATTTCTACTTTACAAATTTAAATTTTTGGCAATAAAAATTGAAAATATTAAAAGAGAGTTTTAAAATATTTAAATTAAAATTTGCAATTAATAAAACAGACAGTTAGCTCCTTATTTATGAACTTTCATCGATTATTTTACGGCTTGTAATATCTTACCGATGAGACAAGCAATGTAGTTGGGAAGTGTTTATTTGCAGAGTTTATGTCGGTCAATATACCAATTTACAGTTTATAGATTATCGAATACCTATAGGAAGTATCTAAGACAGTAGTATAATAATCAATAGCTCTGTGTACATAAATTTCCCTGAGTTTTCCACTAGTATCTTCATCTACACACACATACCTCGAAATTTTGGTTCAACTGCACAAGAGGCCATGAAATTCCATACTCGGAAGTAAAGTTGTCAGTTCTTATCTTAACAAGAAACAGAATGTATTCTTTTATTTCAAAGTTTTTAAAATTCAAATCTTTCGTAATTCATTCAAGAAACTTTTGACGAAGACTTGATGCTCTTAAAAATTATTCACAAAAAGTTTGCTGTTGCATTGGGAATAGAATCATATTTTTTTTTTTTTTTTTTTTTTAATTAAAAATTCAACGCAGTCAACTTACAATCAATCATAAAAATTTCAAATTGATAAAAAAGTAAACACAAAAATGCACGAATTATTTACTGTAAATTGATAGATCCAATAATTTTCACATCGACGGTTTTAGCAACGGAATTACACCCACAAGTTTGCTCTCACGGTTTTACGCCCCCGAATTCGTTAGCAAATATATTCAAACGGTTTTAAAGAATTTAAGTTAAAAGATAATTTGATATTGATGACGTCACACGAATTTTTTGTCCATATTTATCGCTTTGTAAAAATTATATACACATGAACAAGCGCTTATTGTAAATAAGATAAATCCATTTTTGAAGTAAATGCTTATCGGTAAAACTTTTCATATGTCGCTTCAAAAAAGTTCCAGTTAAATCCAACTGAAAGTTTGCCAATAACGTTCAGTATAAATTGGGGCACTTTTGTTTATATTTCGACTCATATTTGTAGGATTAAAACGCAGAATTAGATTTCAGAAAAACAAAGCTGAAGAGTTATTTTAATCATTCATCAATAATTGACAATTGAAAGTGATTAAAAATCTCTCAAACGAGCGAAATTAAATGTTTTAAATTTGTACTTTAATATCTAAAATAATCAGTCGATGAAGAACGTATTGAATTTCAAGGAGCAATTAGTCTCAATTGCAAATTGATTTCACTTGCACTTATCAGTCATCAGTTGTCATTTACCAAATATCAGGTATCAATAATCGATCATAAATTATTGTTTCTTTATAATGCTAATGAGACTTCTTTTAACATTCATCCAATCATTCGCTTGATTGATCACTGAAAAATCGTGCGAGATTAATTAAAAGGAAAAAAGAATATTTGAATAATTAGTTAAAAGTTTTCCAAAAAAATTACCGTTGAAAAAAAAACGAGAGAAATATCTCTGTTGAAATTCATCGGATATTCACGCTAATTACTCAGCAGTGAATGTTTCTGGTGAAATATCCAGATAATAGGAGATAAACGTTTAGTTGTGATTTATTGAACGTATTTTGTACAAGAGATTGATTCGATACGAGCACGGTGCGAAAAACGTCGCTCTAGTTTTCCCTCCAGCTGCTAGTGTTTGTTTGTATTTTTTCGTTCGAGTAGATACCTGTCGATGGAGCTTATAATTACGCGCGTGGATGCTTACGCACGTGGAAAATACTTCGTTGAATAATTCATTAAAAATATATGATGTAATTTCGTATAATATCCCGTGAAAGAATTTTCCGATCGGGTTGTATGTCAATTATCATGTCGTTGCGAAAAAAAATTGTAAATTACAGTTTGAAGTAATGATTTTACAGTTTTCAAATGTACTTCTTACAAAGTATATGAAAATTTAATTTTTAAAATATAATTTTTCAATTTTTTTTTCTAATGTATAAGACAGAAATCGGAGTGATAGTTATATATAACTAAACAGAAAATCAATAACAGATAAGCTTCTTATGAGAGTAAAATAATTTTTTTCTAAAATAGAGAATTCTGATTTTCAAGACAAATTAATCTAGATAATTCATAAATATATTTGTATAGACAATAGAAAATAGACTATTGTAAGAAAACGATATTATCTATACTAATAAATGGAGAGCCGGTTCTTTGTCCGGTTATACTGCGAAAACTACTGAACTGATCGGAATAATACTTATACCATAAAATGCAACGTGTTTCGGAGAAGGTTTTAGTATATGATATGGTGGTGATTACTTATCCGGAACCTATATTTTCTTGACTTAGGATTAATGAATTTTTCTTGCTCTCCTACCCGAAAGTACACTCTTTCTGGACGCATTTTACTCCAGAAAGAGCAATATTTGTGGCTTGTTTTGGCGCATGCGCGCTACGCATATTTTCTGGCCGGGCAGCACAGAACCTCGCTTCTTTTCATATTTTCGTGGCGTGAGTTTCAACTGTCTAACAGTCACAACATCATCTGTATGTAACATGTCAGCGCATAAACTAACCAGAAAGTGTCAAAAAAATAAAATAGTATATTACATACCTAGGCCAGTAAAATAAGAAAAGTCTCAGACTATATGTAATTGTTGGCCGAGGCGAAGCCGAGGTTAACAAACATGTGGTCTGAGGCTTTACTTTTTACTGGTTAAGTTTTCTGCTCGACGTAGCCGGAATGTGGCAACTTTGTTTAGCGCAGCGGCCAGAAAGTTGCCACTTTCCGGCCGGAGGGCAGAAAAATAATTTATAACTAGATTATTATTAATGAATTATTTAATAATAATAATAACACTAAATAAATGATTCATATAAAAAGTTTATATAAAATAAAATATAAGAGTTTTGTGGACTTTATATGCTTTCTTTTATATTTTGACAGCTAGTCAAGCAATGTTTATAATATAATAGGTACATGTACTCTGCAAGCTTCTAATCATTTAATTTCAATCTTTCTTAGCAGTCGATTATTAACTAAAAATTAATTTTTAATCAACTCAAAAAAAATAAATTCTGTTATTAGAACGAGTTTAAATATTTGTGCCAAGTTCTGTGCATTTTATCACTCTAAATTAGAACAGTTGTTAGTAAACTTTAGAATAACTTATTTATTTTTTTTTAATTTATTAATTTTTACTTTTTTTTGTCCGCCCCAACCAGCAAAGCCTCGGCTTTACAAAAGTCGGGCGGCGCCCCCCTCGCACCCGGCAAAACCTCGGCTTCGCCTCGGCCATCATATCCCATACGCCAGGAAATCCAACTTTCTGACCTAGGGTTGTAATATACTATTTATTGTAACTAAATTCATTCTATTCGATTGTCATTTGTTTAAAATAAATTTTTTAATTCTGGAGTTATGTTTATATACTAGGCAGATTGCTTCACTTATAAAACCTGCAATTTCTTTAACTGAAACTTTCAATGCTAGAATGAAGTTAGCTTAGTATCGAAAACATGGACCCTGATTCCTTATTGGTTGAGATTTAGATTGAAGTTAGCTTAGT